CCTACTCATACACACACACACACACACACACACACACACACACGCACGCACACACGCACATATATACACCCCGCATCTTCCTTATCCAGTCATCTGTCAATGGACATTTAGGCTGTTTCCATGTCTTGGCTGTTGTAAATGGTGCTGCTGTGAACATTGGGGTGCAGCTGTCTTTCAAATTATAGTTTTCTCAAGTTATTTGCCCAGGACTGAGATTGCTGGATCAGATGGTAAGTCTATTTTTAGTTTTTTAAGGAACCTCCATTCTGTCCTCCACAGTGGCTGCACCAATTTACATTCCCACCAACAGAGTGGGAGGGTTCCTTTTTCTCCATACCCTCTCCAGCATTTATTAGTTGTAGATTTTTAAATTATGGTGTGAGGTGCTACCTCATTGTAGTTCTGATTTGCATTTCTCCGTAGAGTTACTCTTAATTGAATACTACCATGTGCCTGACACTGCAGATCCATGATCTCATTTTACCTATATGTTTGCTCTGGAAGGTTGTTTCCTTTGGCTCTAGATGAAGACATAGAAGCTCAGAAAAGTAAAATGACTCTGAAGGTCACCTAGTTGGTAAGCAAGTTGAGCCAGGATTTTCGCTCCAGGTCACATGGGTTCCTGAAGCCTGAAACTCTTTCCACGGTGCTGGTCCCATCCGTGGCTGGGCAACAGTGTAACCTGGTGAGTTATAGAACAGATCCTTGAGTACGTCCCAAGCTCTTCATATCCCCAGCCCAAGCTCAGTGCCTTGCACTTGGTAGGCACATAGTCAGTATCAATTTGATCCCAGCAGGTTTTGGCAGGTAGTGAGAAATCTACAAAGTTGAGGCATGGAATGAACATATACTTAAAAACCAGTCTCAATATGGTGGTTGAAAGGAGGTGTGTCCTTTCTCCATATAGTACCACAACTCTTGTCTCTTCACTCCTAGTCTCTAAAATGGGCATAATTTCTTTTCATGTCCATAACTGAAATGTTCTGATCGCTCAACGTGTGGTTTGAGAATTGTGCTTTACAACACAAATGAAACGTATTATTATCGTAAGACAAAGTATAAGAAAACTTTCATACATGAGTGACCAGATTCACTGAATCCTATTAAATGAAGTCATAGGTCCGAGTGCAAGAGGTTGTCCACTGGGAATATAACTTAACAGAGGTTCTAGGAGACCCACAACCTGAAATCTGAATAGCCCCATTGACTTGAGATGTATTCTCGTGTTAATAAAATGTTATCGGGTCCTGAGGCGATACACAGTGAATATACTTGGAAACTAGACTTTCCCCTGTTTGATTCATAATGTCTTATTCTGAACGCCCGTTTTTCTTTTAAGCTTGAAAGGTAACTGAGTTCAGCTCTTTTCCATTGCTTCCTTCCACCAACAGACATGAATGTAAGAGCAAGGATAGTTTGGGATAGGAGAATGGGGTACAGTCATTTCATGTTCTAACTAAGTGTATTGGGATGGCAGGTGGGAGGTAGGGCATGAGGGTGCAGACAGTTCATAATCACATAGTCAGCCCCCTGCTTCCATCTCATGTCATCAGTGGTACAAACGATGGGTTCATGAAAATGGGAGATTCTAAGCTAACTCGTTAGAAAAGGAATGCCCAGAATCTCAGTCAGAGAAACAAGTCTTTGGGCACTGGACAGTTCTGTCCTGTGAGGGCTACAATACAGTGAGTTTGGCAAATTTTACCCCAATCAAATCTGAAAGGACTGTGGAACCCATTTCAAATTGAGTACTCAGAGAATCTACGGTTTTGTGAGCTCCAGCTATGAAAGGGGGTTTCTTTGAAATATTTTTCCTTCAATTTGATGCTATTGGGATAATTGTTCGCATTAGTTAGAAATGGTTTACATGTAAATAAGTATACAGACTTCATTGGGATTATGTAAATAATGCTGGGAGCAGAGGTTAAAAGCGGGTGGAAGCTGAGTGGGGAAGAGAGAGGACACGGAGGAGTCAGGCTCTGGAGCCAGACTGCCTGGGTTGAAATCCCGCCTTTGCTGCTTCCTGAAGTAATGGATCTCAGGCAATTTACTTTCCCTCTCTACCCTCCAATTTTCCCTTACATAGCATGGGGATATTAACAAGCTCTTAATTAATATTTCCTCATCTGCCAAAGGTAACAGCAGCATCTGAGGCCAAAGCGCTTTAAGCTCTAATTACTGCTTTTCACATGGGTGGTGATTTCAGCTCGGTGGTCCATAAACACACACCCACTGCCCAGGGTATCTGAGCGGTGCTATGGGGCACCCCTGGCAGAATCCCCTGCTGGAGACCCGAGACTCTCCAATATGGTAATGGAGTGATTTTTTTTCCTTCTAATGGGAAGCGGATGAAGTTAACATTCAATGACTGTTGTCTGCGGTTTTAAGCAAGGTCACCATGTCCTTGTACCCCTCTCTGAAGGGGGATGAGAATGTGCACTGTGTTCACACTCCCCATTAAGTCTCTGTTTGCTTAGAAATCATACTCATTTGCTTCTTTCTATAAGAATATGGAGAAACTTGTCTCACAGCATCCTAAAGATGTCACCGTGGGTCATGACATCGTCCCTGAGACCTTACACAGCATCAGAGCGCCCTGTGATCCTAGCCACAACATTCTATGGACTCCTTAAGAGGAAATCATGTCTATTATGGAGCTTTGACTATGTGGAAACGTTGGGAGTGGAAACAAATACAATTGCTTTCCATTGCTAATACAGGCATACTTCATTTTGCTGTGCTTTATTGTGCTTCACAGATACTGTGTTTTTGTTTTTTTTGTTGTTGTTATTGGTTTTTTTTTTTACAAACCAAATGTTTGTGGCAACCCTGCATCAAGCAAATCTATTGTTTCCATTTTTCCAGCATTTGTCTCTTCATGTTTCTCCGCCACATTCTGATAATTTCGCACATTTTAATCATTGTCATATTTGTGATGGTGATCTGTCATCTCTGATATTCTCTGTTACTACTTCAACTTGCTGACGGTTCAAATGATGGCTAGCATTTTTTAGCAATGAAGTATTTTTTAATTAAGATATGGGTGTTGTTTTTTAGACATAATGCTATTGTTGCATGCTTAGACCATAGTGTAGTGTACACATAACTTTTACATGCACTAGGAAACTAGAAGTTTCATGTGACTCTCTTTATTGTGATATGCTCTTTGTTGTGTTGTGAACTTGCAATATCTTCAAAGTCTGCCTATATTTTGCTATATATTTCCCAGGCTTTTTCCCCCCTCTTTACGTATAGGTTTTGGTTTAAAAACTGGTGATTATACTACCTGTGAAATTTGATATTATGTGTGTCAGGGGTGTTTGCTTACTTTTATAAGTATGTTCTATCTTTAATTTCACATAAACAATTTTCATAAATTTTATAATATTCATTGTAATATAATTTATAGTATCTTTTGTTATTTGATATTGAAGCTTTTTAGCAGTCTTACACTATTACAGCTAATTCTTTGATGCCCATTGAAGTTTATTTCCTTAAGATATTTTCCTAGAAGCGTTGCGGAAACATGTGTTAACAGCTCAGCCTTATAGCTCGGTGTTACAGCTCAGTTGTGACAGCAACCTGGATCGGGGCGAGAGATCAAGCAGCACTCAGAGGGTTGGAGAACTCAGGTTTATAACGCCAGCGGGCCCAGAGAAGTTAACACGCCAAGCTCTGGACCCCGTCTGTAGGTTTACACTGGCTTTTATAGGCGGCCAGTTTACACTTCGCAACTCATATGTAAATTAGGTAAAAGGAAAGTTGACTAATTAAGAACAAGCTTTGTAGAAATGGACCAATCAGGAGGGAGAGAAATAATCAATCAGGAGTAAGGGAAGTGGACCAATCAGGAGTGAGAGAAATAACCAATCAGGAGTTAAGGAAACAACCAATCAGAAGTGAGCTCAGGGAACCAATAGAATTTTAGGGACAAGTAAGCCATTTCAGAGGCAAAAAGTAAGATAGAGCCTCTGGGCCAGGGAACCGGATGGTGCTGGCAGGAGAGTAGTGGCCCTGCTTGGGGATCCTGCCAGTCTTTTTATGGGGCATCCCGCCTCAGAAGTAGAGTTACCAGTCAGGGCTATAGATATTTTAAGTCTCTTAATATAAATTAGTATTCTGGAAGATTGGAAATAATGTATGTGACCAACAGTAAAGGTATAGTTATATAAATTGTGGTATTGTAACATGAATATCATGAAGCTATGGAAATTACTTTTAGAAGAATGCTGACATTGCTCGTAGTATAAAGATTTACCTTTTTTGGAGAAAAGGTTTGTATATAAAAACAGAAACCAGACATAAAAGAAATGCAGTAATAAAACTG